TCCCCTGATGTCCGTCCACCAGCCCTGGCTCCTGGCTCTTCTCCCCTTTGGTCTTTCCCAGCTTCAGGATATGGGGGGATTGAGGGGGCCAATGCCCTTCCCAAGGGCTGCTGCCTCCTGCCCCTACATCTCTCCGCCCTCAGGTTACTTGGAGAGGCTGAGGACAGAGTCCCCGGGCCACCTTTCACCCAGGTCCAGGTCCCGCAATCCCGAGACTGGAGTCCCCTGGCCAGTGGTAACACAGGATGTGTGCGCGCGTGTGTGCAAGTGTGGGTGTGTGTGCGCGTATTTTTGCTTGTCTCTTTAGGGAACTTAGGAGTTGGGTTGGAGGTGGTGGGCGATGGGATGTCAAGTTCACTATCGCCCAGCGGTGAAAGGAATCAGGAGGTGAGGCCTGTAGGGCCCCCGATTTGGGGGATCTCAGTGTTGGTGAAGGTGGGGCTCCTCTGCCCTCAGATGTCTGAAATGTTGGAAGATCTCTGTTTCTTTCCCACACCTGGGCTCTTCCCAGCAACGAGGTGACTGTAGAGTAGCCCACTTTTGTTTTTAATCAGTGTTCAACAGGTTGAGACTCTCCTGTGTGTCCATGTGTGGTTCGTGTGTGAGAGAGCACATCTATGCGTGCATGCTGTTTCCCCATTTCTCTCCTCTCTAACATGTCATTCAGAAAAAATGTAAGAAATTCCTCACCCCCACTCTCTCCTGCCTCCCAGGCCCTCTGCAGGAAAAACAGAATAACCCAGCATCTTCCCGATCCCCTGGCTGTGTGTTTATATAGATGGAAATATACTTTCTATTTTGTATCATCGTGCCTATAACCTCTGTCACCTTGTATAAACCTTGATGTATGCTACTTATCCTGGACATGAATGTATTGTACACTGATGCTCCCATTCCTGTACAGCTGCTTTGTTTCTTTGCAATCCATTGTATGGCTTTATAAATGATAAAGTGAAAGAAAAATCTGGACTGTTATCTAGCTGTGTTGTTTGGGAAGGGGCTCTGTCAGTGGGCAAAGGAGACCTCACCCAGGCTCCGGTTATGTGGTGGGCTTCAGGGATGCCTCTGGTGGATGACTCACCCCAAGTCCTCCCCAGTGGTTTCCCCATCATCCAGGTCTTGTGTCTGATTATGATGGGTTTGTCAGATTCTTTTAGCTAGAAGAGAAACTCAACTCAAAATGGTTTATGGGGGGAAAAAAAGGGACTTAGTGACACATGTGACCAGGAAGTCCAAGCAGAGCTGGCTCGAGGGGCCCAAGTGGTAGGGATTTGTCTCTGCTATTTGGTTCTGAGTTGGTTTAATTCTTAGGCAAGCTCTATCCTGAGGATGGTGCCACTGGATGCTCCAGAACATGCCACTAGAGGCTCCGGGCTGTCATCCTACCAGTAAGATGAGAGCTCTTTTTCTCCCACTGTTTTCAACAAAGACCTGGGGCAAATGCTCATTGGCTCTGAGAGACTGCTTGGGCTGTATGACTAATTCTGAAGCAACTGCCCTAGCTAGATCTGGGTCATGTGACTACCTCTGGAGCCTTCTGAATCATGGGGACTGAGAATGGGGCAGTGGCTGGTCCCTGAAGGGGTGAGGTTTATCAGAGGACGGGGAAGTCGAGGCTGCCAGGAAAAACCCATGGCGGCCAGCAGATGGCATGTGTGTAGCTCACTTGGACACCAGGCCCAACGGTCCTGGGAGAATTCTTTGCAGTTTCGGAAGTTTGAGGTGAGGTACAGCTAACACAGTGCAGCATCCCTCAGGAGATCTCAAATACTCATGACACAGCTGCAGCTCCCCAGTTGATCTGAGCTCAGATGAGCTGATTTGGGCGAACGTATGCCGTCTGAGACCCCCATTCAGCCAGCACAGCGAGTATCAAGGACAGCCTTCTCAATGTTTGGTATTGTGA